GAAGGTTTAGAAACAATTTGGGGAAATCATTTTCGGGGGATAAGTTTAGTAATTTTGGGGAGCAGCTCTTCGGAATAGCTTTGGAAAATTCGGGAATAATTTTGTGGAACAGAATTGGGAAGCAATTTTGGGGAATAGGAGCAAATTTGAGGAGCTGCTTTGTACGGTAGCTTTGAAGAGCAATTTTGAATGGGGAGTAGTTTTTGGGAGTAATTTTAGTTTTAAAATGTAGTTTTGGGGAGTAGCTTTTAGCAATAATTTTGGGGAACTGCTTTGGAAAATAGCTTTGGGAAATCACTTTGGGGAATCTTTTTGGGGAATAGGTTTGAAAAACAACTTAGCTAAATTCTAAATATATATAAATTATATAAAATAAATTTTAGTGGAAATAGGTATTATTTTTAACGATAATTCGGGTCCTAGCCCGGGTTCGGTGTCTAATCCCAGCCATCCCAGCTTATGATATATGATAAATCTGGGTTCGGCGATGAATTCGGGCTTATGACATATTAAACCCGGGCGTGTGAAGGTCGTTGCGCTGTCGTTATATCGTCGTTATATCGTCGTCAAGCCGCTCTTATGCGGTCAATTTATCGCTGTCGGGGCATCGGCTTATCGTCATCGTACTGTCGAGCTATCGCCGTCAGACCGTCGGCTCATTGCATCATCTCCATCGTCATAGCGATTTAATAATATTTTCTATATTCCATTATTCTATATTTCTTTTGAAATGATAAAAGGATAGCTGCTTTGGCGTCTATTTTGCAATTTTTTTTGGGAATTAATTTTGGGAAATGATTTCGGGGATGCTTTGGGAGGTAATTTTGGCAAGCTTCCCCCAATTAGAAAATTATGGCAAAATAATTATTTTGAAGAATAACAATTTTGAGGAATAATTTTCGGGGGCAGCTTCACAAACCATTTCGGGGAGTAGCTTTTAGAAACAACTTTGGGGAGAAAATTTCGGGGGCCGCTTTGTAGAGGGAACCATTCTGGCTATAGATATAAAGAATCATAATTTTGGGGTTATAATTTTGGATAAC